TTTTCGCCGGAAAAATTTTCGGCGGAAAGTTTTACGCCGATAGCACTTTTTCGACGCGCGTTGAACCGGCGTAAATATTTTCGTCGGAAATCCGCCGGAAATCCTAATTTCCGGCGGATTTTAGTCATTTTCCGACGAAAAATGGACGCCGGAAATTGCGATTTTTCCTGTAGTGCTCCCAAACGATCTATTATTTTCTATTAATACTTTAATGATTATTTCAATCTAATATATAATACAAATTGAATATTTTTATTATAATTAAGACTATAATATGACAAAAAAATTAAATCAAACAACAAAGAACAAGTTAGTAATAAATTTAATTTAAAGTTTATTGATTAAATCCTATTGATGCATTCTGGAATATTCGTGGCAATAGAGAAATATAAAGTTTAACGTTTTAGTTTTGTATTAAGATCCATCACAAAATCACATAAAAGAGAGGATATAATGTTCATAAGAGACACCAGAGTTTTTATATAGAAACCTCTGAAAAGTGTGAAAAATCACAGGGCCTGATCTAGCTTATTTTTTATTTCATCAAAAGAAGTATATACACATGCACACCGCACGCATACACAAATCTAATTAACTTTTAATTATTTATACATCATAATAAATAAAAAATTTGGATTACAAAAATTAATATCTCAAGTTGCTAGGACTTGGAAAATTTTTCTTCTACACTTTTCTACTATGTTGAGCCCTTCCCTTTGATTGAAATATCAAAAAGAACAAAGCATAACGGGTTAAATAAACTTTTTTTCATTGAACCATCATGGAGATCAATACCCATATTAAAATATTAAATAATAATTAGTTAAAGGAAAGTAAGCAAAACTAAAGTGTAAATAGAATATGAATTACCTGGGTTTCATTATATACATGATTTCAAGATTAGTTTAGATGTTTACCTCGTGCTCTATAATATCCTGAATAGGTCCAGTGGGTGATTTCAATTTCTTGGCCTCCAGATCTTCTCTTTCTTTCTCTTTCCTCTCTTCCCCTCATCTTCTCCTCTCTTTTTCACCGACAAGGTGGCTGGGGAATTCATTTTAGCAGAATGGTTTGAGATATTTTATTATTTAAAAAGCTACTAATTATACTTGCCACTAGGATGCTCAACCCCTCAACACAGCTGAGCTCTTAGAGAATCTTCTAGATTCTCCAAAAAATCTTTTCATCTAAGAATTGACATTACAATGGCATCATACGAAGCCACAAAAAACTCATTTTCCTCCACCCAGAGTTCAATGTCGTGGTGCTGCCATTCCTTATATTGTGGCGCTTACATAGTACTTTTTTATACTTAGAATTTCACTTCTACAATCTAATTCTTGTCTTATCTAATACTCCATTAAATACTCTAAGACTTATAATTTCTAATCAAATTTATTACTAATCATTAATAAAAATTACATGGATTCTTGATGATGGATATTGCATCCTTCCCTTATGATAGAGAATATCATCCTTTACATTCCCAATACACAGTAATTTAAATAAGATTCAAATACAACTATCTCATCTCAACCTCTTTCTCTTAGGTTACTTCCATTCTAACATGTGCTTCTACTAAACTTTGATTATCAGAATTTGCTTATTACTTAACTAATTTATATCAAAGGAAAAAAATACATTCAAGTTCTTCTCTATTGGTGAGATATATTTATATTTTCATTTAAGCTTTAGGAACTATTCTATCAACATCTGATTCATTTCCTCAACATTGATATATAAAACACATTATGAATATCTAACATGTAGTCTAGAAGAAATAATCTACATGTAGATTTTCCAATCATTTCAATCACTTCAAAGGTTCTTTATAACTAGGACTCAACTTGTTATCCCTTTCAAACCTATTCACTCCTTTTGTTAGACTAACCTTCAGATATAAGGTCATTGACTTCAAATTTAATTTTATGATTACTAATTTTTTGTTGATTCATTACAAATTTTAGGATTGATTACGAGTTTATTAATTATAATTCATCAATTAGTTTTGTTGATTTAACTTTTAAGGGTTCTCTTTATTATTGTTTGCATCAAAAGAACTTTATATATGGATTCAACACTGGTTTCAAATAACAGAACTAAACATATTAATTATAAGGAGATAAATAATCACAACACTAACATACAAATCTACCAAACATGTTACAGCTCGAATTTTATTTTATTTTTCATGTTAGTGACATGTTTATGGAAAACAACATTTAAAGGCTTAAAAATTGTTAAGAAATTATTTTTAGAGTTATTTAAATATTTTTAAATCATTAAAAAAATCATCCTAGTGAAGCTGCTTCGTACAGGAAAAACATCGATGCACATGACACAAGTATATGACTTACACTACAAGGTTGGTGATCATGAAGGTCTCTAAAGTTCATAGAGGTGGAAAGCCTTAGCCAATAAGTCCAAGACTTCATAGGTACACTATCTTATGGACAATGAATAACATAATACAATTATAGATCATCAGGCGGGAAAATAAAACAACAGTGCTTTGTGTGCTATTGTTGCCATTCTCCATACAAGGAGAAAATCTTTATAGGGTTGCAAAAATTATACATGATCATGACATACCAAGATTTATTTGTACACCCTGGTAAAACATAGGAGCCTTCGAGTAAGGCCGAAGAAAGTGTGACTTACCAATCCATATGTATGTAAGAAATGATTTCCTCGCAAGC